GGGGTTTTATCTTGAGTTAAAAGGGGGATTTGGGGCACTCGGTGGGGATTTGGGGGGTCCTTGGGGGGTTTGGGGGGTCCCCAAGGGGGTTTTGGGGTGAATTTGGGAGGTTTATGTTGAGTTAAAAGAGGGATTTGGGGCACTTGGGGAGGTGCCAGGGGGGATTTGGGGGTTTTGGGGGGGATTTGGGGGGGATTTTTTGTAGGATTTGGATTTTTTGGGGTGGGAATTTTTAGGATTTTGGGGGTTTTGGGAGAAATTTTGGGGTTTTTGGGAAAGATTTTGGGGTTTGGGGGAGGAATTTTGGAATTTTGGGGTTTTTTGGGATGGATTTTGAGGGTTTTTTTGGGGGTTTCCGGGATGGATTTTGGGGTTTTTTGGGGCGCTGAGTTGGATTTTGGGGTCCCCAGGAGCTGGTTCGGGACGGGGGCTTCGCGGTGCTGCGCCGGGTGCTGGTGGATTTCGGGGGGATCAGCCTCAAGAGGAAATTTTTGGGGGGTCTGGAACCCGAAGCCGTCAACGTCATGATCGGTGAGGGGGAGGGGAGCCCCAAATTCGGGGAGGGGTCCCAAATTTGGGGGAAATTTTGGAGGATTTTGGGCAAATTTGGGCACTTTTTTTGGGGGTGAGCTCCCAAATTTTGGAGAGGATTTGGGAATTTTTGGAGTGTTTTGGGCACTTTTTTGGGATTTTTTTGGGCGGATTTTGGGGTGGGATCCTCAAATTTTGGGGTTTTTTGGGGGTGGGGTCCAAAATTTTTGGAGGAATTTTGGGAATTTTTTTGGGGGGGGAATTTTTGGCCGTTTCAGGGGTGGAATTTTCCACATTTTTTTCCCCCCTTGGGAATTTTCCCTTTTTGGGGAATTCCAGGAATTTTGGGGAGGGTTTTTTTTAATTTTTGGGAATTTTTCGGGGATTTTTTTTGGGGAATTCGGGAACTCGGGAATTTTTGGGAATTTTTTTTGGAATTTTTGGGAATTCCTGGGGGTCTCCCTGAGGGTCTCCATTCTCCCTCCCCAGGCTCCATCCGCTCCATCCTGGGGGCGCTGACAGAGCTCGGGGGGGTTTTCCAGGGATTTTTTCCAGAACTTCCCGGGAATTTTTTGGGAATTTTTTCTGGAATTCCAGGAATTTGGGAACTCGGGAATTTTTGGGAGTTTTTTTGGAATTTTTGGGAATTCCTGGGGGTCTCCCTGAGGGTCTCCATTCCCCCTCCCCAGGCTCCATCCGCTCCATCCTGGGGGCGCTGACTGAGCTCTGGGCCGTTTTCCAGGAATTTTTTCCAGAACTTCCCAGGAATTTTCCAGGAATTTTTTCTGGAATTCCGGGAATTTGGGAACTCGGGAATTTTTGGGAGTTTTTTTGGAATTTTTGGGAATTCCTGGGGGTCTCCCTGAGGGTCTCCATTCCCCCTCCCCAGGCTCCATCCGCTCCATCCTGGGGGCGCTGACAGAGCTCTGGGGCGTTTTCCAGGAATTTTTCCCAGAACTTCCCAGGAATTTTTCGGGAATTTTTTCCAGAATTCCAGGAATTTGGGAACTCGGGAATTTTTGGGAATTTTTGGGGAATTTTTGGGAATTCCTGGGGGTCTCCCTGAGGGTCTCCATTCCCCCTCCCCAGGCTCCATCCGCTCCATCCTGGGGGCGCTGACAGAGCTCTGGGGCGTTTTTTGGGAATTTTTCTGGGAACTTCCCGGGAATTTTCTGGGAATTTTTTTGGGAATTCCGGGAATTTGGGAACTCGGGAATTTTTGGGAGTTTTTTTGGAATTTTTGGGAATTCCTGGGGGTCTCCCTGAGGATCTCCATTCCCCCTCCCCAGGCTCCATCCGCTCCATCCTGGGGGCGCTGACGGAGCTCTGGGGCGTTTTCCAGGAATTTTTTCCAGAACTTCCCGGGAATTTTTCGGGAATTTTTTCTGGAATTCCAGGAATTTGGGAACTCGGGAATTTTTGGGAATTTTTGGGGAATTTTTGGGAATTCCTGGGGGTCTCCCTGAGGGTCTCCATTCCCCCTCCCCAGGCTCCATCCGCATCGATCGCCTGGGGGCGCTGACGGAGCTGTCGGAGAGAGACGGGCGGCTCTTCCCAGTGGGATACCAGTGAGTCTTACTGGTTTATACTGGTTTATACTGGTTTATACTGGTTTATACTGGGAGGGGACTGGGATGGACTGGGGGGACTGGGAGGGACTGGAAGGAGTAAAAAGGGAGATTTGTGTTACTGGTTTTTACTGGTTTATACTGGTTTATACTGGTTTATACTGGTTTATACTGGTTTGTACTGGTTTTAACTGGTTTATAGTGGTTTGTACTGGTTTTAACTGGTTTGTACTGGTTTGTACTAGGCAGGCGCTGGCGGCTGTACAGGAGCATGGAGGTTTGCACTGGTTCATACTGGTTCATACTGGTTTATACTGGTTTTTACTGGTTTATACTGGTTCTTACTGGTTTATACTGGTTTATACTGGTTCTTACTGGTTTATACTGGTTCATACTGGTTTTTACTGGTTTATACTGGTTTATACTGGTTTATACTGGTTTATACCGGTTTATACCGGTTTTTACTGGTTCATACTGGTTTTTACTGGTTTATAACGATTATATTGGTCCATACTGGTTTATACTGGTTTATACTGGTTTATACTGGTTTGGACTGGTTTATACTGGTTTATACCGGTTTATACTGGTTTATACTGGTCCATACTGGTTTATGCTGGTTTGTACTGGTCCATACTGGTTTATACTGGTCCATACTGGTTTCCACAGGTGCTGGAGGCTGTACTGGAGCACGCGGGACGCCCTTGGGCGTTACTGGTTTATACTGGTTTATGCCATTATACTGGTTTATACTGGTCCATACTGGTTTATACTGGTTTATACTGGTTTATACCGGTCCATCCTGGTCCATACTGGTTTATACTGGTCCATACTGGTTTCCACAGGTGCTGGAGGCTGTACTGGAGCACGCGGGACGCCCTCGGGCGTTACTGGTTTATACTGGTTTATACTGGTTTATACCGGTTTATACCGGTTTTTACTGGTTCATACTGGTTTATACTGGTTTATAACGGTTATATTGGTCCATACTGGTTTATACTGGTTTATACTGGTTTGGACTGGTTTATACTGGTTTATACCGGTTTGTACTGGTTTATACTGGTTTATACTGGTCCATACTGGTCCATACTGGTTTATACTGGTTTATACTGGTTTCCACAGGTGCTGGAGGCTGTACTGGAGCACGCGGGACGCCCTCAGGCGTTACTGGTTATACTGGTTTATACTGGTTTATACTGGTTTATAGGTTTATCCATTATACTGGTTTATACTGGTTTATACTGGTTTATACTGGTCCATACTGGTCCATACTGGTTTATACTGGTCCATACTGGTTTCCACAGGTGCTGGAGGCTGTACTGGAGCACGCGGGACGCCCTCGGGCGTTACTGGTTTATACTGGTTTATACTGGTTTATACTGGTTTATACTGGTTTATACCATTATAGGGGTTTATACTGGTTTATACCGGTTTATACTGGTTTATACTGGTCCATACTGGTTTATACTGGTCCATACTGGTTTCCACAGGTGCTGGAGGCTGTACTGGAGCACGCGGGACGCCCTCGGGCGTTACTGGTTTATACTGGTTTATGCCATTATACTGGTTTATACTGGTTTATACTGGTTTATACTGGTTTATAGCCATTATAGGGGTTTATACTGGTTTGTACTGGTCCATACTGGTTTATACTGGTCCATACTGGTTTATACTGGTCCATACTGGTTTATACTGGTCCATACTGGTTTATACTGGTCCATACTGGTTTGTACTGGTTTATACTGGTTTATACTGGTTTCCACAGGTGCTGGAGGCTGTACTGGAGCACGCGGGACGCCCTCAGGCGTTACTGGTTATACTGGTTTACACTGGTTTATACTGGTTTATACTGGTTTATACTGGTTTATACTGGTTTATAGCCATTATACTGGTTTATACCGGTCCATACTGGTTTATACTGGTTTATACTGGTCCATACTGGTTTCCACAGGTGCTGGAGGCTGTACTGGAGCACGCGGGACGCCCTTGGGCGTTACTGGTTTATACTGGTTTATGCCATTATACTGGTTTATACTGGTCCATACTGGTTTATACTGGTTTATACTGGTTTATACCGGTCCATCCTGGTCCATACTGGTTTATACTGGTCCATACTGGTTTCCACAGGTGCTGGAGGCTGTACTGGAGCACGCGGGACGCCCTCGGGCGTTACTGGTCCATACTGGTTTATACTGGTTTATAGCCATTATACTGGTTTATACTGGTCCATACCGGTCCATACTGGTTTATACTGGTCCATACTGGTTTCCACAGGTGCTGGAGGCTGTACTGGAGCACGCGGGACGCCCGCCGCCGTTGCTGGTATCGCTGCCGGATCCTGGAGCAGCCGCCCGGCGCCGTCGGGGGAGGGGCCGGGACCCCCCCGGGACCCCCCCCCGAGCACAACCGCACCATCGCCCACGGCAGCCCCGGTAATTAGCGCTAATTAGGGCTAATTAAGCTCCGATGGAGCCCCTAATTAATGATAATTAGCCACCGATCGCGCCCCGGATCGATGCAGGTTGATCGATGATTGTGTGTTTAATTAATGCAGATTAATCGCTGATTATGTTCTCTAATTAATGCAAATTAGGGTCTGATTGTACCCCTAATTAGTGGTAATTAATCTCTGATCCCGATCCTAATTAGTGATAATTAATCACTGATCAAGCCCCTAATTATTGCAAATTAATCTCTGATTATATCCCTAATTAATGCAAATTAGGGTCTGATTGGACTGCTAATTAGTGATAATTAATCTCTGATTATGTCCCTAATTAATGCACATTAATCTCTGATTACGTCCCTAATTAATGCAAATTATCCTCTGATCGTGTCCCTAATTAGTGATAATTAACCTCTTATCAAGCCCTTAATTACTGATAATTAATCTCTGATCAAGCCCTTAATTACTGATAATTAATCTCTAATCAAGCCCTTAATTACTGATAATTAATCTCTGATCAAGCCCCTAATTAGTGATAATTAAGCTCTGATCAAGCCCCTAATTAATGATAATTAATCTTTGATCAAGCCCCTAATTAGTGATAATTACCCTTTGATCGCGCCCGTAATTAATGATAATTAATCTCTGATCACAACCCCTAATTAATAATAATTAACTCCCTGATCCCACCCCTAATTAATGCAAATTAGTTTCTCGTCAGGCTCCTAATTAGTGATAATTAACCTTTGATCACGATCCTAATTAATGATAATTAACCTCTGATCGTGTCCCTAATTAGTGATAATTAACCTCTTATCAAGCCCTTAATTACTGATAATTAATCTCTGATCAAGCCCCTAATTACTGATAATTAATCTCTGATCAAGCCCTTAATTACTGATAATTAATCTCTGATCAAGCCCCTAATTAGTGATAATTAAGCTCTGATCAAGCCCCTAATTATTGATAATTAATCTTTGATCAAGCCCCTAATTATTGATAATTAATCTTTGATCAAGCCCCTAATTATTGATAATTAATCTTTGATCAAGCCCCTAATTAATGATAATTAATCTTTGATCACGCCCCTAATTATTGATAATTACCCTTTGATCGCGCCCGTAATTAATGATAATTAATCCCTGATCACAACCCCTAATTAATAATAATTAACTCCCTGACCCCACCCCTAATTAACGCAAATTAGTCTCTCGTCAGGCTCCTAATTAGTGATAATTAACCTTTGATCACGATCCTAATTAATGATAATTAACCTCTGATCGTGTCCCTTAATTACTGATAATTAATCTCTGATCAAGCCCCTAATTACTGATAATTAATCACTGATCAAGCCCCTAATTATTGATAATTAATCTTTGATCAAGCCTCTTATTGATAATTAATCTTTGATCACGCCCCTAATTATTGATAATTAACCTTTGATCGCGCCCGTAATTAATGATAATTAATCTCTGATCACAACCCCTAATTAATAATAATTAACTCCCTGATCCCACCCCTAATTAATGCAAATTAGTTTCTCGTCAGGCTCCTAATTAGTGATAATTAACCTTTGATCACGCCTGTAATTAGTGATAATTAACTCCCCGATCCTGCCCCTTAATTAATGATAATTAATCTCTGATCGTGCCCTTAATTAACCTCTGATGACGGCCCTAATTAACGCTAATTAATTTTTCTCCCCTCCCCCCGCAGGTGG